AAAAAATATTATAGTTTAATATAAAGATTAAGTATGTTATAATTGATAAAAAAATTATATTATATCTATTCAAAAGTATCCATAGTATACTAAAATATCCATATATCCATATTATCGTGATATCACATCTTAATATTTATTCTAAGAGTAGCCCTAATATACTTATTGCTATATAATTTTTTTAATTTAATTAAATTTCTATTCAAGTAATATTAATTGAGATCATTATAGATATTTTTTTAATTAAGTACCTATTATATATTAATTATAAATTAATCTAATTACAAGGTGCCTTTATTATTTTTACGATGAATCTTGATGATTCTACATGTGCATCTCTTGCATTGGCATATCTTATGATTCTAGTATTTTTTTCATTATTTAAGTCATAATTATGGTTATGATACGGATAAGATTTTTGTATCCTTAAGGTCATACTAAGCCATTTTTTTCTACAAAAAAAATCTTAAAAAAGATCATGTCATTGTTATTGGTGTTTGGAGTAAAAACTTTAGTTGTATCTTCTTTCTATACTTGCACTTTGGTTCTTATGTACACTTTTATATCAAACTTGATATATCCTTAATTTAATAATATTACTTTTTTCAAGCATCATAAATATTTTTAGTTTAGTTTTTATTTTATTTTATTTTATTTTATTTTTTTTATCTTCGATTAAAAACTTTAAAAAATGACCCTATCACTCTTTTGCCTATATTTTCTAAGGTATCTTAAATTTTAGTTACTTACCTTGCAAAATTAGAAATTATCTTGCTTATTTTATTTGTTTATACAAGTTTTTGTTGGCTTACCTTGAAAGTCTTAGAATTGGGCCTTAATTGACAACACAATAGCTACCTAACAAAATCTATTGAACTCTTTGATTTAGTTTGCTTATATTTTTATCTAAAGATTAGCTTATCTTATTTCTTCCTTAGATTGCTAATATTTTTCTTTAATAAACTTTACTTATTTTTTAATGCATTAATTCTTTTTACAATCTCCATCACTTTTCACAACAACTTGAAAATTTAAGTTAGATCTTTTAACGTATTAACCAAAGTATTCTTTTTGATTATGATCCCTAATAATTCAAAGCAAATGTCTTATAAATAATTTAAAATAATATAAATAATAAAATTTGCTTCTATTAAATTTAAGTAGGATTATTTTTTATTTTATATTCTCAAATATTAAGCTAATTATTCTTGCATGTTTCTTAGATTAATACATAGAGATTCTAAAGAATTGATACTTTAAGAAAATTAGTTGTGAAATAGGATTGAAATCAAAGTCTAATATACAAAATTGCGTACTTGTAATTATTTAAGAATTCTCTAATAGATCAAAGAGCAAGGTTTGAAAGCAAACAAAAATAAGAATCTTTAAATATTTATTTTTATTGATTTGAGTTTATAATGACTTTATAAAGTCTTTGCAAAGTCAAGATTGTCTTGGAATGACTTTGGATTTTAAAAATATATTAAAGATTTATACTTTGGAAAATTTTATGAAATTAGTAGATGATATATGGATAAATTTTTTTAATTGTATGGTTATAGCTGTACTAAATATGTGTTGTAAGTTTGACCTTGATCAAATAATTTATTAAAAGATAATCTAAATTAAAAAGTATTATAATCTTAGAAATTGGAGTTTAAATAATTAATGAGAGTTTCTAAGATTTGCAATAATTTACTTGTTGGATTAAAATAAATGTTTCATACTAATAGTAGACTTATTTTTTTTAATAATTTTGCAAAATTTTAGAGCCATTGAATAGTGAAATCAAGAGATTTACTTGCTAGAAGATCAACATTAAGATTGGAGAAGGAAGCCAATTGACAATTAAACGGATTATGAAGTTTATCTCCCATTTGATATGTTAGATCTTCTTCAAATTATTCGTACAAGTTTTCAACTAAGTAATTAAAAGATAAATAAATCTTAAATCAAAATCTATAATTAATTCATTAATTGTTGAGATTTCAATATATTGTAGGATTAATTGGTAATTATTAAGGATTTGATATTTGATTAGGATTTGATTAGATTTTGATTTAGGATTTAATATATACTTATAATTTTATTAATATTTAACTAGGATTTACTTAAAGCTTTTTTAAAATTTATTTTAGGCTCTATTCGGATTTATTTAAGATTTATGTAGAATTGACTTAAAGTTTCTATTTTTTTATTTCTTTAAATATTCTGATTTTATTATATTAATTATATTTATTTATTAATTATTTAAAATTATTATTTTTTAATATTTTTTTAAGATTTATTTTTAATTTTTTTACATTTATTTTAATTTTTTAAAGTTTTTTTTTGGATTTGATTAAGCTTTTGATTAAGATTTTTTAAAGATCCTATTAGAATTATTACGACCTTGTTTTTGAAGTTTATAATTTATTTTTTATAACTAGGTCTTGAGTACATTCTTAAGCAAGACTTTATATAATACAACTTTAATAAGATCTAATTCTTACCTACATTAGTTAAAGCTTAGTGTATATAACATCTAGAAGTAGTATGGCCCAATTTTAAGTACAAATATCAATTAGTGCCTCAGTTAGTATCATTGATTCCATTTTACTTATTTGTTTTAAGTAGTGGAAATAAAAGATCGGCATCAAGAACTTGAACATCTTTATTTGGTATAAATCTTGAATACTTATAAAATAATCGCCTTATTTTAGATTGTACAAGTCAAGTATGTTGCTGTTTTATGAGTGTTCTTGCTTGAAAATATACTAGGCACCTAATTATGGAAGATAAGTAGAAATGCAACAACAATCCTACTAAGTCTAATAGAATCTTAAATATACTTTAAGAAATCTTTAATAACCTTAATCAAACTTTAATCAATTCAAAATAGATTTAAAAGAAATTACAAAAGAAACACAAAGAAGTCCTAAATTAATCTTAAAGAAAAATAATAAAAAATCTTAAAGAAATAGAAAAATCCTTTAAATAATATTAAAAATAAAAATTTAAAATAAATCTAAAATAAATCCTTGATCAAATTCTAATTAAAATCATAATTGAATTCTAATGAATTTTAATCAAATCCTAGGTCAAACTCTAATTGAAACCTTAAATAAATCTTCATCAAATCTTAGGTCAAATCCTGATGAAACTGTAATAAAATCCTAAATCCTAGATCAACCTAGAAAAAATCCTAAACCCTAACCAAATCTTATACAAATTCTAACCTTAATCAAATTTTAGTTCCTAAATCAATCCTAATCAATTTATAAGCATATCCTAAATCTTAAATAAAATTCTTAACAAGCCTATAATATATTAAAATTTTAATAAGTAATGCTTAAATTTATAATTTTGACTCAAACTTTGCACACCTTGAAACAACTAAATTAGCAATAAGCACAAAAAAATTGAAGAAGATTGCACAATCCAATAGTAAGAAGAGCCCTCAAACTTCTTGATTATTGGCCACATTTCTTCTATAAATTGAACATTCATCTTTGAATATATATTTTTCTTTGTTGAATTGTTCAATTGCTCTAAAATTTAAGTTATGTGTAGATATTCTAATCTAAATTTTTTTCACCAATTTTTGCTTCAATTGAACTAATAGATATTGCCAAATCACAAAATCCTTCACTAATCCTAAATCTCAATTATCCAAGACCACAATCCACAAAAACCTTCGTATTCTTCAATCTAATAGCTCAATTGAGCTTAAATTTCTCATACACATTTATAGCAAGTACAAAAACAAGTTACTCAATTTTTATTTTTAAACACACTATAAAACTCACAAAATCCCAAAATTTGTAATCTTTTTTTTATTTCTCAAAATTAAATCCATCAAATACATCATTAATTTTGAAAATTTCTTAAAATCTTAATATTAATCCAAATAATAAGAAAACCAATATTTAAAAATCTCTTCTTAGGTTTGCTCTCAAATCTCATTCTCTAATTTGCAAAAGAACCCCAAAGTTGTCGTAGATGTGCAATTCTGTGCCTTAAGGTCGAATTTCGACCTAGGTTAACAATTGGTCTTCTTCAAGAATAAATATTTGATAATTTGAGGTAAGTTTTTTTTTAACCTATTTTTAATTCTTTCCTAAATTGAGATTATTTATTTTGTATCATAACATTAAAAAGAATAAGTGGAATCTTTTTTTATATTTGCATCCAAAAATTTGTATTTCATGTTTTATTAAATCAAGAATTTGGATTAGTTTTTTCTTTATTTCTTATTTATTTATTTATTTTGATGTCTCCTTTTGTTGTACTAGCCCAAGAGCAATGGAGGTAATGAGTCCGAGTGCAGATACATTGACTTATAACAACATAGACTTTGGCATCCTACTGATGAGTAAAGTTGTGCACAAGACCTCATTTGTATGAAGGCTTTTACTTATAGTCAAGATTACTACCTCCACATCTATGCTATCTTCACAAAACCTTAAAAAATAAATACACAGAGAAATATTTCACCTCACTCAATATCCTCAAACTTAGGGGCAATGGACAAAGCACAACATGTGGTTGGTTTATGTCACCCTACAGAGAACAATCCATGAATAACATACACACACTCACTCACTCACTCACATACACATACACACACTCACTCACTCACATACACATACACACACTCACTCACTCACATACACACACTCACTCACTCACTCACTCACATACACACACTCACTCACTCGTGTAATACAAGTTTGAGGGTAGTCTTCTAAAGGGCCTCAAGAGATAGTTTGAGACTCGTCACCACAGCTGGGAAGATAAAATAAAAAAAATCTACAAGAATGTGGGTGGCATGGCAAAAACAGCCACACGCACCAACGTTATTCTCAGCTTCGAGTTACCATTGGGCTCCAACTGGTATGCAACGCCCCAAAAAGCAATCTCCTCGGAAAGTATCTAGTGAAAAGCCATCCAAAAAGGGACGGAGATACTTTTCGTTGCTTCCAGGGGATGTTTGGATAAGCCCCCTGCACAGGAGTGTGAGAGGTTCTCAACGCCGTGGCTTCGCCTTCGCCATCACTGCCGAGGGGAGCTCCTGCTCTGCACTCTAGTGGAGCGTGCGAACTCGGCCAGCACACTCCTTCTTCTGCTGGATTCCTGCAGAAGCGCAGCTCGTTCCTTTTGTTTATTGAGTTTTTGGGGAATTTTTGGGAGTTGGGTTTTGGGGGTGGATAAGGTTTAAGGGTTTTAGAGGTGTTTGGTTTTCTGGGTGGTGGGTCGTGTTTTTTTTTTTTTTTTTTTTTTTTTTTGTTTGTTCTTCACTACCCGAGAACAGGAAGGGAGGGAGTGGAGTCGTCATCATGCAAAGCTTGCAGATACGGCTCGGGTTGAACTCACTTCAGGGCGGGGGAGAAGCAGCTGGAGCGCCAGGTGCCTTGTTGAAGTCGGAATGGAAAGGAGTTGGGCAGCTATTTGGGTTCAATCCTTTGACAGTTCCAGTTTCGTCGCGCAATTGCGTTACCAGAGCTGGAGGTAGTGAATCCTCTCGTCAATGTGTGATTGATTGCCTTTGTCTTTACTCCAATGTGCAATTTCACTCCCTTCAGATTGTCTGGGCAACTGCGTGTATTACCGTGTCATGGTCCTGAATACAATTTTGGTTACGCGAGATTGGGAGAGGGACTGCGCTTTCGGTCAGATTATTCAATGGGTGATGCGTTGGGCTGTGCTCATGGTAGTTTACCTGTGTACTTGGTGGAATCAGGACCCACTGTGCACCAACAGTCTAGGTCACGGCAGCACCGTGGTGGCTACGGTGGGCATTATGAGGGGCCAAAGCGGAGCAGAGACGATGCAGTGACGCGAAAGATGAAGTCCTTTCATGAGGGGTCGGATGGACCTCCACTTCGTGTCCTGCCGATTGGTGGACTTGGAGAAATCGGCATGAATTGTATGCTTGTCGGAAACTATGATCGCTACATTATGATTGATGCTGGTCTTATGTTTCCTGAGTAAGTTTTCGCCACTTATCCGCCTTTATCCTCCATCTCAATGAGAAGTGTGCGAGCGAAGTCATGAGGCCTTAATGTTAACGGATGGTTTTTTTCTTCCGAAAGTCTAGCTTTTGCAAATATGCGCGACTGCATTTGATCAACGCATGAGGGGTGCAGGGTTTAAGGTTTAGGGTTTAAAGGGATTCATAAGAGAGTAGGGTTACGAGTTCCTTGGTCTGCACATAAATGTTTGAGAAATTGCGAGATGCTAGCGATGTACTTGGAGCAAGCTCTGAAGTCTCGTGGAGTCGTATCCACCTAGAATGTGGTGATGCAGGCAGAGTTTTAACGCTGTCTGTTACATCGCACATGTAAGCGGTTTTAAGGTATTTACGCGCTCAGTATTAGTAATTACGGTGCTGTTACTGTTGTTAATCTAGATTGGAATTAAGAAACGGTATTCTTGACCTCACAGCTATGATGACCTCGGGATTCAAAAAGTGCTACCTGATACTCAATTTATTCACCGTTGGAGAGACAAAATTGAAGCTGTTATCATTACTCACGGTCACGAGGATCATATTGGTGCTTTGCCTTGGGTAACTCATTTACCTACCAACAGTTCCTGCCCATTGGTTGATGAAGTTTGTCAAGTAGAGTTGTGTAAAATGTGCAACAAGATTTACTATTTAGATGTTTGACCTTAGAAATTGTGATTTATTTCACTGAAGGGAGCTCCTCGCGCCTTCAGGTTTTGTCTATAAATTTTTATCCTATTTCTGTTGGAACTTGAACATTACGTTTCCAGGAAGCAGTATTTGTATTGAATAAAATGATCAATTGACACATTGGTTCTGTAAGGTCGTAAGGATATAGATGTGTATGACAGGGATGTTGATGTAAGACTTCTTGATCTGTCGTTTGGTGTTGCTATGGAGATTTATTTGGTTTAGACGTTAATTTTGCCAATGTTCATGTCACTTCTTTCAGGTGATTCCAGCTCTTGACCCTAAGACCCCCATTTACGCAACGGGCTTCACGATGCAGGTATTGTACCGCTCGTATTTTCTTTTCACTTTTCTTGGCTATCTAGTTTGAAACTTGTTTCAGTGGTTGCATGTGGATGTGGCACTCTCTGTTTGATTTGAACTATCAATTCGGACCATATCTTAGGCTGTGGTAACAGCTAGTTGTTTTTCTTCTTAAAGTTAATCAAGAGGCGTCTCAAGGAGTACAATATACCAGCGGAAGGCAGGTTACGCACCTTCAGCATGCGCGCCCGTTTTGATGCCGGTCCCTTCGAAATTGAACCAATTCGAGTTACACATTCCATACCAGACTGCTGTGGGCTTGTTCTGAGATGTGCGGATGGAACCATTTTCCATACTGGTGATTGGAAGGTCAGTTTACCATCTATCAATACTTTGTCTTATCCAGATGGTCTGACTAGTTAAATGTAACCTACATTTTTCGAGCAATATTAGAGCTTGTTTCTTCTAAACATGTAGTTGGTAATGAACAAACTTGTGGGTTCGAGTTGTCAAGTTCAAATGCCCGTATTTAGTCTCTTACTCCACTCATCGCCAATGAATGCATGCTTCTGAGGGTTCCTACTCCCATATATTTTCCCCTGAATTTAGCAGTCAACCGCCGCAGATTGACGAGTCCCCTGTGGATGGAAACGTTTTCGACCGTGTGGCACTGGAGCAGCTCCAGAAGGAGGGCGTGACTTTGGTCTGTTTCACTGAACAACTTCAATTTCAAGATTTTCATTTAGAAGCTCAACCATGTTGACTCTATCAGCTTATTAGCGCAGAAAATGATTCTCATTCTTGGTATACATTCTTGGTCATGTTTGTTTACAATGTTTTTCTTTTTTGCCATGTTTGACGAAAGACTTGGATGTCTTGGACTTGTCCGTGTATGGCTCAAGTGACAGATTGTCAAATGTGCAGATGATGAGTGACTCCACAAATGTTTTGTCACCGGGCAGAACCACAAGTGAGGCCGACGTGGCAGAAGCTCTCATGCGCAAAATTGTTGAAGCGAAAGGTCGTCGCGTCATCACGACTCAATTTGCGTCAAATGTTCACCGCCTAGGCTGTGTAAAAGCCGCTGCCGAAGTATCGGGTCGGAAGTTGGTAATTACTTCAATGCTTTCTGCGATTTACAATTTGTAAGCATCATCTGTTTCCATTTTCTGAAGTCAACGTGTTTCATTGGGCTGTAGGTGTTTATCGGACTTTCATTGAAGACATACTTAGAAGCCGCTTGGAGGGACGGACAAGCGCCATTCGACCCCGCTATTCTGGTACTGCCCAACGCTGTGCATGTCCTCATATTTATTAGCTGTTTCAAGCCCTGTATGTTCAGCTTTATTTGATCCTGTTGCCATGGCACAGCATTCCCTTTGGGTCCGAATGTTTTACATCACGTACGTTTGAAATGCTTTTCTTGGCTCATATCAAACGTAAGTCACATTCACATGTTAATTAGAACTAGCTCCTACTGTTAAAAAGGCCTCATCATCCTGCATGTTGACGTGTAGAATGATATTCTCTGGATTACGCAGGTGAAAGCCGAAGATATGGATGCTTATGCCCCAAGTCAGCTTCTTATCGTGACTACTGGATCTCAGGTTCTTCTCCGTTGTTTTTGCTACCATAAACTTGCTAACTTGAGGTTGAGATTCCGCTTGTTTTTTCTAGGTATCGTTGGGTAGGCATGATTGAAAGCTGGTGTAATTGTTTTTTGAACGGGAGTATCTCTATTGGTTCAGGCCGAGCCACGGGCAGCACTAAATTTGGCTTCTATGGGATCCAGTCGTCTGCTCAAGCTTCACAAGGACGACGTCATCCTTTACTCCGCCAAGGTGATTTCATTGACATCTGATGTTTGGTAACCTCGACGATGTATTGAAACTTCAACTTACCTCTATCGGTTGATCGATAGGACTCTAATATGTCGTGTCCAAACAGATGATTCCAGGAAACGAGACTCGAGTAATGAAGATGATGAATCGTATCGCAGAACTGGGGCCCAACCTTGTCATGGGCAGGGGCGAGAATCTGCACACTTCTGGCCATGCATACCGCGGGGAGCTGGTAAATTTGTCTCATCAAGAGCATCCTCCCTTGTATCACTCTTTCTTCCGTCTCTCAGCTTTGGGACAAAATAAAGAATGCAGCAACTGATTCTGAGTCGAGTTGAACAATCGTGGATCCGCAGGAGTTTTGATCGAACATGTGTATTGCGTTACAAAGTACTTGATAATCTAACAGGGAACAACACTGTGTGCATTGATTTTTGAAGGAGGAAGTTTTGAGACTGGTTAAACCGCAACATTTTCTACCTGTTCACGGAGAATTTGCCTTTCTGAAGGAACATGAGCTCCTTGGCAAAGCCCAAGGTATCAGACACACTGCAGTACGTCATCACTTCCCAAACACCGAATCTGCTCATATTTTTATTATGTGGTAATTACTGTTGGAGAGGTTAGGAAAATCACCAACGTGTCTTGAATAGTTCACTTCTCATCCTCGGGAAACTAATTATTTTTTATCTTGAATTTGTCTCATATGCTCGATCCTGAATTTAAGCACTTTTCAACTCTGCTGCAGGTTATTAAGAATGGTGAAATGTTGGGAGTGGCTCCATTGAGAAACGGTCGAGTACTCTCCAGTGGATTCTCCCAGCTTGGCAGAGAAAAGTTGAAGGTTGCTTACAGTTTCGCTATCGCCTTGCATTTTGTGCCGGGGGGAGAACTGTAGTTTTAGGAACAAATTAGAGTAAAACTGCGAGTTTGTAAGCTTGTGATTGTTGGATTCAATTTCTCATGGTTATCGCTGTCAACTATCTGACAAGTGCGGTGAACTGTTGCAGTTGATGTATAACGATGGGGACAAGGCATTCGGAACAGCAGCCGATTTATGCATTCAAGAGCGAATGAACATTGCTTTGGAGGGTCTTGTTATTGCCAGGTAGGTGTAATAATTTCGGCACATATTCATCACTTGCTAATTTGCATGCATCATAATTGGGACAATTCTTTTGCGTAGCTCTGGGACAATACGATACTAGATGTGCGTTGCAACTCTATTTCTACTGACATTAGTTGCGCGGATTATTTGGTAATGTGCAGTGTAGAGGTTATTCGTGAGGAAACCAAATACCTCAATGAAGATGAGGTTTATGAAGACAAAATCTTGAGGGACGATGATGATGGTGACGAATTAGGACTGCAGGGAAGAGTCCGCATTACCACCCGATGTTTGTGGACGGACAATGGCAAACTCTTAGAATCTTTACAAAGGGCAGCTGATGTGGCCCTTGCAAGCAGCAGAAAGGATGCGAGACTGCCGACTATTGAGCGACACGTTAGCGTGGTCCTCCGAAAAGTTGTTCAAAAGTATAGCAACAAACGACCTGATGTTATTGTAATTGCTACTGACGCTTCAGATGGGGTTGTCCCTAATAGATCTTCTCCAGAGAGTATCAACAATTATGACCAACCACGTAATAAGCCGCAACCTTGGAAGAGAGCAGCTGATTCAATGTCAAGCTTTTCTAGGGGTGCCGTAGTAGGAACTGTAGAACCTGTAGACGAGGTTACTTCAAGAAGCTTCGTCGCGGAGGAAACATCTGAAAGAAATAAAGTAGTCATTTCGTCACGAGTTCAATCGGAAACCGTATCTGCAAAAGCACAGCGTCTTTCTTCCGAAGGCGACGCGACTCAGAAGAATGAACGAGTAAAAGCTGGAGATGGAGGTGAAATCTCGGCCACGTCGTCAGGTTTTTCTGATCCCGAAGGTATGTCAAGATTTGTTGGTGATCAAATGTATCCTTTTTTTCACCATCAGATAGTTCCAACGCTCTGTTAATTTGTATGAGAAGTCGATTCTCTTTCTAGAGGACGGGGATTATGTGTATCCAACTACTGAACCTCGGGTGGTTATTTTTCTTTCTGACCTACAGAATTCGAAAGCGATGAGGAAAGTGGAGATTCGGATCAGGAAGCTGATTCTGTTGCATCTGATGGAGCGGCTTCTAGCCTCTCACAAGAGTCTACAGAAGAGATTGAACCTCAAAAGAAACGTCAAAAGTGGAGGTATGGAGTCTTACACGCTTTTCACTATCCCCTCGGATACCAGCGTTCTTGGAGTTTTTCGTGCACGCGTCAATGAATTGTATCACGGGCGGGCAGTCTTTACATAAGAGGATGCTGTAAAGAAATGTCTTACTGTAGAATTTAGAGATTGTGTCGGCTCTTTATGCTTTTGTCCTGAAAAATATAGAGATCATTTCCGCTCTTTATGCTCACAGAACGGTCTATACAGACATGATGAGACCATTAAGCTCATTGAAGTACGAAGTACGATGGGAGATCTGTTGGTGAAGGAGGGAAAGAAGAGGAGGCCAAGTTGGAAGGACATTGCAGCCTCGCTCAGTGAATCGGGCTTTGAGCGTAGCCCGGAGCAGTGCAGCTCCATGTGGTCATCTCTTTTGAAGAAATACGAGGTAGTTATCTACTCCTGCCCAAGGCTCTTGCTCTTATTGTAATCCATGAAGTGCGGTGTTGTTTTTACCAATATACCGCCTTCGATTTTGCCTGTTCCTGTTCATCCAATCGACAAAATCGCCAGCTTTATTTAGTTCCATAATTATCATACAACGTTGATGTTTAAGTTAATCAGGGACTCTCGTAATACTCAAATACCTATCATTTAGTGAATTATTTTTTACTCCAGTGACCTTTCTGTAGAAATGTCGCTGATGTTCCCATGTGTGATAACAGAGGCAGTGTTCTAATTTTTCAATTTGGGGCTATGTGTGGGCTCAGGCAGTGGTCGAGGAAAAGAGAACAAGGGATTCAAGTGTTCCTGCACCGAAGAAAGAATGGGCTTACTTCGAATTAATGGACGCTGTGATGCAAAAACTTGCCAAGACCGCTGGTTCACAAGATGTGGTCATAGAGAAAGCCAAGTCCAAGAAGCCTAAGCGGAAGTCCAAGAAACCCAAAGTAGATGCAACTGCAGCAATTGATAGCACAGAAGTAGAACTCCCAGATTCCGAGGACAGGCAGACGGCACAATGAGGCTGCGAACTGTCTGGCTATCTTATCTGGGTTGAGAATTTATGTAACCATCATTCTTTCTCATATTGATAATCAATGGGGTGTTTTGTGTTGTAACACCTGGTCTCGTGTGCATACCAGGATTTTCAAAAGGATTGTTTGTTGTGTGATTGCAAACATCTCCATCTCTTCATTGTCACTGTAGACTCTTTTCCTCCTCCTCGCTTGCCTCGGCCTTTTGTTGGCCATGGTTGCTCTTTCCTTGTCCTAGCCTCTTATTAATGCTAGCTGCACTCCTGCTTGTTTTTATTGATGGTTCGTTGTTAAATGCTACCGCAATCTCTTCCTAGATCAATTGGGTTTTGTTATGTCTTTCACTATCTGCAAAATAGATTTTTATTTTTATTTTTAATTTTAACTGATATGATAACGATAGACGACAGATGTAATGCCAGCACAAGATGTTGGTTGTTTTGGTTTGAATAGCACAAGAAAATTACTAACGTCCAAACCTCACGTTATGAATCTCATTTTATCATTTTGGTCAATCTTATTGTTTGATGTATGCATGAAGTTTGTGTGCTGTAAATTATTTCAAAATTGTTAATTATTTTAGCTCATCTTAATTTGCTTGACTTTTATTTTTTTTATTCAAACTAATGAAACCTATATCTTTTAACAAATCTAAAATTATGTCTATCTTTCTTGTTATTATGTATGTACATTACTGATACTGTACTTGATCATTTTTAACTTTTGTAATTTTATAAATCTATGTTTTTAGTTTGTAATTATAGTGTTTAAAATCCTTGGAGTAATGTCTTTCTGATGATATTTGTGGGTTGTTCATTGTTTGTTATATACTCCATTAATAATAAAAAATGCTTTTATTTTTATTTTTATGTAGGTCTAAAATTTGTTAAGATATTTTCATTCTTAAGAAAAAAAAAAAAAAAAACAAAAAAAAACAAACAGATATTATTCTTATATCTTCTTAGATTTGTAATTCAACAATTGATATTATATCCTCACATAGCAAAGACTTTTTATCATAACAGTAAATACATTAGTTAAAATGATAATCTTGCATACAAACTCATGGAGATATAATTTTAGAAGAAGAAAATTAAAGTAATTACACAAATATTATTAGAGCTTAAAAACTAGACAACTTTTTGTTGCATTTAATTATTTATGTATTTGTTTATTCATCTTTTCATAAAAAAAACCTCATACATTTCTTATTTACATTTATGGTTTTTGGTGGATAACACATTTAAATATCAACAATGTAGATATCTACAACACAAAATAAATTAAAAAAATATTTATGATTAGTATTAGCTCTGAAACCGTTTGTGAAGATCAAAAATCCAACATAAAAATTAATTTGTGGCATTGCATATAGTGCAATTTAAAATTTTAATGCCATAAAATATGCCACCTAAGTTCTGGTTTTTCTTGTCTTTTAACAATGTCGTTCTATGTATGAATTATATATATACACATACATATATATATATATATATATATATATTTTCATTGTTATTTGTGCTGTTGTTAATATTTTTTTAAAACTATTTTATTCAATAAACTTTGGTCTACTATGTAAGCATATTCTAATATTTTATCTAATTCTTAAAGAAATTTTAAATAAAAAAGAAACATCAAAGGTTAAAAACTTGTGAAATAAAAGGTTTAATTAGAAATATACAATATTTAAGATGAAATAAAATAAAATAAAATAATTATATCATTTGTGTTGCAAAAACATTGACAAGTATTTTTGTAGAGTGTTTTTGTTATAAAGCCATACTTAGAAGATTACTAATTATTAATTTATGATACAACTTTTAACATATTTTATTTTTTAATATAATAATTTTTCCTTATTTTATTACTTAAATTTTTTTATATAGATTTAGTTGATTTATAAGAAATATCTACTTAAAGCAAATCAAGATACAATCATAAGTTTTATTTTATTTTATTTTATTTTTAATATATTATAGACATTTTCATGTAATAACATGGCCATTAGATGAAAGAAGAAGGTTTTATTTATTTATTTCTATTATTATTATAGAAGAACCTAGTTAAAAGATGTAGGAGAAAAACATAGATAAACGATAGGAAGTTAGAAAAATCTCATAGTATTAGAACTACCTTTTCTGAAAATAGATTCTATTTACTTTGTACAACCATATATAAGGAAAAACAAGGTAGATTAGAAAAATGAAGAATATGTAAGCATATGTAGAAAATGTAAGCATATGTAAGAGGGAGTTAGAAGTTGATTTTAGCAAAAATTACCTCAAAAAAACAAGAGTTGATACCCAAAGAGGATCAATTGCCAACTAGGATCAAAATCAGACCACAAGGCACAAAACCAAGTACCTATGCTATTTCTGGGATTTTTTTGTCAATTAGAGAGTGGGATTTGAAGAAAGATTAGAGAAGAGATTTTTAAGAGTTAGCTTCATGTTATTCAAATTAATATTGAGGTTTTTGGAGATTTTCAAAGTTAGTGATGTATTTAATGGATTTAGATTTTGAGAAATAAAAATACATTTATAAGTTTGAGGGTTTTTTTTTGAATTTTTTAGCATAAGTACATGTGAAAATTTGATAATTTTTTTTATGCTTATTATGAATGTGTGTGAAAAATTTAAGGTCAATTGAGTGGTTAGATTGAAGAATACAAGAGTTTTTGTGGATTATCATCTTACTTAATTGAGATTTAGGATCAATGAGGAATTTCATGATTTGACAATATCTGCCAATTAGATTGAAGCAAAATTTGATGAGAGCAATTTAGACTTTAATATCTATATGTAACTTAAAGTTTGGAGCAATTAAATAGTTCAACAAGGAGAAATCTTTGTTGAAAGATCAACATTCAAGTCGGAGAAGGAAAGTGACCAATAACTGAGAGGTTTTGGGAGCTTTTCTTACAATTGGTATTTGCAATCTTCTTGAAATTTTTTTGTACTTATTGACAACTTAGTTGTTCCAAAGTTTGCAAATTTTTGAATCAAAATCAACGATTCATTAAAATTTGATTAGGATTGAATAGAATTTGTTTAGAGTTTGATTAGGATTTGTTAGGATTTGGATATGATTTCATTAGGATTTCATTAAGATTTGATTTAAGATTTGATTAGTATCAGTTTAAGATTTTATTAAGATTTTTTAAGAATTACATTAATATTTGATTAAGATTCAATTAAAATATCTATTTTTGATATTTTTTAAAGTTTTTTATATTATATAGATTTCATTAAAATTATTTTATTATTTCTTTATATTTTTTTTGTAAATTCTTGAGACTTATTTTGGATTTAATCAAAGATTGATTAGTATTATTATAATTTAATTGGATTTTATTGAAGATTCTATTAGAATTGTTAGAGTCATCTTAGTGCAAGTTCCATTTTTTCTTCTAGACCCAGGTATCTAGTGCATTTTGAAGCAGACTTTACATAATATGACAATGTTTTCTATAGAGACAAGGAATGGATTAGGCACAAATCTTGTGCCATCTAATGAAAACATAAACAAACCATAATTGTAAGACCGAACATGAATATTATGTGAACTTGCTCTAATATAAAATTGACTGCTCAAACAAGCCTCTCCAAGTATTGAGGTATTGTAAGCTAAAATAAACCTCCAGTAGTTGGAAGTTTATTCTAATTCTTAACAAGTGAAATAACTATGTGAATTTCAGAGGTTATAGCTATTAATTAAATTCTAATTACATCACTCTTTATTCTTCTTGAATAATCCAAGCAATGAACCTAAAATTCTATTACCAACTCAATATTCTATTACTTACAAATAATAAGTCACTGAGCAAGTTCCATGCAATTAAAAGAACAAAATAATATGATTTTTATTTTATTATTTATTTTATTTATTTATTTATATTATTATTTATCTTAATTTAGTTTTTTAAAAATTAAAATTCATCAATTGACAAAATTTCATCATTGAATGATATTTCATCCTTAAATTAATCCTCATCCAATTTTTTCATCTAAAAAAAAAATCCTAATTCAATCTAAGCCTAATTAATTTCTTCTTAACCTAGAAGCTTTTATGAATTTTGAAATTACCTTGCTTACAGTCTTATACTGATAACAGCCTGTGAAGAAGAGCCCCTCCCTCCAATTCCTTGCACTTCGACTTTTTATCACCATTCTTAACACAAAGAAGTTTGAACAGAAGAAGTCTAGATCAACTTGATGCTCCACAGCGCTCACATCTTAAAATACCCGATTGCAGTTCTTGTGCTAAATGGAATTGCGATGCTGCAATGCAACAACCAGGAGCTCTAGAATTGTCTCGCATGGAAATCCAAATGGACGATTCGTGGCTTCTATGGCACTAACAAGGATTCAAAACTTGAAAGCACCAGACCTACTATGCTTGAGGAAGAAAATGCCCGCCCTGGCAAAGAATCGACGTCAAAATTTTCTTAGCTCCAATTCTATGGTTGTGTATGTCATCTTTCACCCAAGCAAAATGAGACTTTAGTCACATTACCATTCGGAGCTTGTGATTATATTTGCCAGTTCATAAACCCGTCTCAATTTCCTGATTCCCTTTGTTTTGATTGTCTTAGCAGCGCCGTAATTAGTCTTGTAAACAACGATTACGAAGGCAATCAGTTTCAGCTCATAGCTTTCGACCACACTAGTTCTAACTGCTTACTGCAAGAGCTTCTTGCACTGACACCCCGCTCAGCAACAATTTGCAGGGCAGTTGCAAGGAACCTTGCCTTGCTTGAGATTGATCCAAGACTCCAAAGCCTCGTTGATGCCAGACCTAGACGACTACCATTGCGACGTTGTCCATCGCCAACTACCAAAAAGATGCAGATCAGTTTGAGACTAGAAGAAAACCACGTTGTTGGACTGCCGCACCCTCCAACAGCAAAACAAAGGGAGAAAGAAATGAGATCCGCACGTACACCATAGTTCTTTTGATACCGAGAAATACGCCACCGACGTCTGAATGTCGCAACACCAATAAAAAGAACCACTGCCAAGTCTGCAACATGCATAACATTTTGCAGCCATGCAGATTTGACTCCAACGAGCAAACCAGTTTTTGCCCCCTATAGCTGCTTA